TCTTTTCAGAAATGTTAAACAAAAGTTCTCTCCATATATCTCGGTCACTTTTACTTTTTCATTATTCCGGTATCCCCGTGTAGGATGCCTTAGAGCTTCACAGTTACAAAGTCATTTTCTCATTATTTTGGGTATCTCATTTTCGTCTCAATCCAAAATATCAGGCACATTTTCTCATTATTGTGGGGGAACAAAGTGAACTATATTGTGAGATATGTTCTTAGCATTGTTGCTCCTGTAGGATCAGAAAGAAGATGCCTTATCAGGCACATTCTCAGGTCATTGGGTGCTATGACAAACATGTACAAGGCTAATAACATGAGGTCTGTTGAGGAGAGAGTAGAGGCCAAGAAATCCCTGCCACATCCTGTGAGGCAACAAAGCCATTGAAAGACTCAGTCAGGTTGCAAAGCAAGCCAGCCATGTAAAATTTCGATTTCAGAATAGCTTGTGAATCGTGTATTCCAAAACCAGAGTGGAAGGGTTCACAGCCCGACAGACAATATGACTTCCAACGATTAGATTGTTCATTGATTTCAGTACGTAGTTGAGCAAAACAGTTAGCTTGATCATAGCCCCATATCTAACAACCATTTCATTATAATCACCTATGGTGTTCTGTTCTTTCATTTAGAAACCAGTGCACATGGTTACTTCAAGAATTGTGGCACAACATCTACAAGTTTGTTACCACCCAACTATGCAAGAAAAGGGGAAAATGAGAAAGGAAAAGAAAGAGCAGAAAGTAGCACAATTCCACCCAACTATGTATAAATGTGGGCTTTACATTAGGAGGATTGGTTGAAAAGGGTTAATATGGCAGCAAATCTTTTATNGCCACCCCTCATCAACACTTACCACTCAAAAAAGCCACTTGATCATTAAAAAAAAACAGCTACTCCATTAACCATCTAGAACTACTATATAACTAATTTTGATCTCAATTCCACCTCAATCAACAGCATATACATGCATCCAAACATATGCACCACTATGTGTATACATATATGTAAACCCTATGAGTTGAATCGACAGGAAAAAAGAAGAAAATAGACGTAATTTACCTTCTGCCGTAACAAAAACTGTAAGAAAATAATTGAAACTTCATGACTTGAATTGAAAATCCTGAATGTACAAATAAAAAGTTCAAAAGAGATATCGATACACACGTACATATATAATATATATCTATGAACAGAAGAGATTGTGTAAATCTGGTAGAGATATTACAAGAATCTGAAATTTGTTTTTGAGCTCGGAAGCTCAAAATCGAAGAGCCACGGTAATAATCGGAAATGTGCTGGCTTTCGATGATGAAACTACTATTTTGCTCATAGATGGTGCTATGAAATAATGAAGTTGCGGTTTTCAAAGGAGGGATAAAATTGGAAGAAAAAACTTGGAGTTGGCTTGAACGGCTGACAATTTTATTTTTTAAAAAATTTTCCCTTTCTATTTTGGTAAAAACAACTCAATATTTTTATATTGATAATGATTGGTTGACCTTGAGTTCGAGTTGAATTTAATTCTCGATTTTGGGTTTTTATTTAAACTCAAACTTAGCTCGATAAAATTTTATGTGAATCCGAATCAAACTCGATTCGAAATTAAACTTAATTCATCAAAAAAATATTTTAAAATTCAATCCCTTTAACTTAATTATTGATCCAATTCAAAAAAAAAAAAACTAAATTATCGATCCCACAATAATCAATTTTTTTACAAAAATCTCTCAAATTTTAAATTTCTCGTATACATATTTGAGAATGGAGGGAGATAAAAACATCTATAACTTGTACCTATTTGAGAAGAGAGGGAGTAGTGCATTCTCAATTGAANATTCATCAAAAAAATATTTTAAAATTCAATCCCTTTAACTTAATTATTGATCCAATTCAAAAAAAAAAAACTAAATTATCGATCCCACAATAATCAATTTTTTTACAAAAATCTCTCAAATTTTAAATTTCTCGTATATATATTTGAGAATGGAGGGAGATAAAAACATCTATAACTTGTAGCTATTTGAGAAGAGAGGGAGTAGTGCATTCTCAATTGAATGACTGTCATTCAACTCGTTTATTAAATAAGTTTAAAAAGTCGATAAAATTCAAAATTTATTTTATAATTTGAACAAGTTAAAAAGCATTATAATTTTGTCCCAAACCCGATAGACGAAGAAATAGGTGGTCTTTTTNTTATAATTTGAACAAGTTAAAAAGCATTATAATTTTGTCCCAAACCCGATAGACGAACAAATAGGTGATCTTTTCAGAAATGTTAAACAAAAGTTCTCTCCATATATCTCGGTCACTTTTACTTTTTCATTATTCCGGTATCCCCGTGTAGGATGCCTTAGAGCTTCACAGTTACAAAGTCATTTTCTCATTATTTTGGGTATCTCATTTTCGTCTCAATCCAAAATATCAGGCACATTTTCTCATTATTGTGGGGGAACAAAGTGAACTATATTGTGAGATATGTTCTTAGCATTGTTGCTCCTGTAGGATCAGAAAGAAGATGCCTTATCAGGCACATTCTCAGGTCATTGGGTGCTATGACAAACATGTACAAGGCTAATAACATGAGGTCTGTTGAGGAGAGAGTAGAGGCCAAGAAATCCCTGCCACATCCTGTGAGGCAACAAAGCCATTGAAAGACTCAGTCAGGTTGCAAAGCAAGCCAGCCATGTAAAATTTCGATTTCAGAATAGCTTGTGAATCGTGTATTCCAAAACCAGAGTGGAAGGGTTCACAGCCCGACAGACAATATGACTTCCAACGATTAGATTGTTCATTGATTTCAGTACGTAGTTGAGCAAAACAGTTAGCTTGATCATAGCCCCATATCTAACAACCATTTCATTATAATCACCTATGGTGTTCTGTTCTTTCATTTAGAAACCGGTGCACATGGTTACTTCAAGAATTGTGGCACAACATCTACAAGTTTGTTACCAATTTTTCAAGTCATCTATGCAAGAAAAGGGGAAAATGAGAAAGGAAAAGAAAGAGCAGAAAGTAGCACAATTCCACCCAACTATGTATAAATGTGGGCTTTACATTAGGAGGATTGGTTGAAAAGGGTTAATATGGCAGCAAATCTTTTATTTAGAACGGTTGATTTGAGAGAATTTACCATTGAAAAAAAACATAGTTTATGGAAAACATAAAGACACCAACCACACAATTGAGGGATGGAAGAAAGTAAAAGTTGTGTTCATACCAACTTGGTAAGCGGAAGAAAGTACGAAAAAATTTGCTTATGCCTTCGGTATCCAGCTGCAAGATAAGCGCGAGTCCAAAGAGAAAGAATGCTCTCTGGCGTTTCCTTTCTTGAGGCCAAAGAGTATTCCAAGCTAAAAGAAAAAGAATTGCAATGGTTAAGATTATAGTGCATTGGAACATTTTACAACACACCCACAATATATAATCTACACTTGCATGTCCACATTCACTAGGAAAGGTCAACATGTAAGCTGATGTTTGGCTATAATCGCGCACAGTCCATGTTATGTAAAATACTTGAAAGGAATAATCGCGCAAGCTTTACGTACCTTTCATTGAGATGTATCCTGTGCTTCTTGCACTACTGAGCATGTCCCTAGAGTGGCCATCTTTGATAATATTTGCAATTACAGAAGCATATTTTGGAGCCTCTGACAATGATCTTACTATAGAGTAGCCTGTTTTACAAAATTGACGAAATATTTGGAACAATTATACTCACACAACGCCTTAAGGAAGCAAGTTAATGAAGAATCGATTCCTTTGTACCTGTTGTAGGATGCACCATGCTAGCAGCAGCACCAAATGCAAGGTTCTTCTGCTCTATTGGTAAGGATCCACCAACTGGAATATAATCCCTACATATGTTTTTATATAGATTATAAATTTCACTACTCTTTTGTAGCAAAAGACTATAGTTTATAATCAGGTGGGGTTTGTAATTCGGTTTTTATGAAAAAATCTACATCCCTGAACTACGCTAGGATCCCAGTTCGGGAAAAAAACCTATCGAGGTAGAAACAAGTAGATTACCTCTTCATAAACTTTAATTATACGCACTCCCATTGTCTCTAACCTTGACATTAGTTTTTTCTTCAGTAGATCAAAAGGCAAGACATCTTCTGAAGCCAAACAAGTTTCCTGCAATCCATTTACATAGTTTCATGCATTGGCATTGCACATAACACATAAAATTGACATGCAATAAGCGAACCTCAAAGAAAACTCGAGTAGGGGATATGGGCATGGCATAGAGAAATGTTGGATATTGTTCTTCTAAACATTGACCTTTTTGCTTCATGTAGCTTCTATAATCCATGAACACCTTCAAATTGGGATCACATGGATTGTTTTCCACCTGAAAAAAAAAAACTGCATGCAATTGCAAATAATGATCATAAAGACGTAGCTTCAAACATATTCTCAAAAGTGTACTACAAAAATATTAAATCTTCCCTGCGCTTTTTCAAATGTAAATAACCAACGAAAAATGATTTAAATATTGCACCATTTTTGTGAAATGGCACGACAATGGTAAGAATACGAACAAAAAAAAAAAGTTAATTTTTTCCTTTCGCGTTTAGAACCATAAATTCAACATATCCCCAACCCATTGAGTGGCGTAAATTACCCAAATTGCTAGATTCAAAGACAAGTCCGAATAAGAATTATTTGATTTGACCGTTCAATTTCATCTATGATTTTACGCTCCTTCCTCGGCCTCGACACCATATGATGTTTGGGCAAGAACCATTGGACCCCCTCGATCATACTGCAAGAGTTTCCCTGATGCTGCTCCAGATGCAACAGTGGCAAGCCTATAATAACATGTTAGAATCCTCAATCAATATGTAGCAAATAACGTTCTTTATTGTGACGAGAACTTGTTGGTTGATTTATATACTTAAAGGTTATTGCACACTTTAGTTAATAGATATCGGGCTAGATGTTTTAACATGTTACGAGAGGAGTAATACTATTTGGACCTAAAAATCTAATCTAATTTGTTGACATAATGGTGTGGCTTCAGTAAAATTATTAGATCAACACCAAATTTCAATGTTTGATAAGCTCTACAGTCAATCCAAAAATCATAGTAAATTAGGTTAATAAATTAGTTCTCAATATCATTGCTCATATGAGAGTTGGTCCCGGGACGGTCGGTGGGACCAAACTCTCACCAATTGATTTTCTAAGTCTGTTTATCCGAAAAATAATATCCTCTTTGCAGGGGCGGGTCAAGCCAATTTTAGGTTTAAAGCGGAAACATTAAATAAAAGTCTTTTTTATTTTTAGTATTATTTTTTTAAAAAAATTAATTTATTTTTGATTTTTTATATGAAAGAGACGAAAGAAATATGTATTAATGTTGTCGAAAAGAGAATTCAACTTTTGTTTTTGTTTTTTACAAAAAGAGGAAGAGAAAGTGTTTAATTTTAACTTCTTCTTTTTTTTAACCAGAGAGAGAGTGATGCTCCGTTTGGTATAATGAAAAAATGGAAGGATAAAAAGTTGAAAGGATGAAAATTGGAAGGATAAATAAAACACTATGTTTGATAAGGAAGGAAAATAGAAATAATGAAAATGTAGATGAATTAATTTTTCTTTCAACTCACCAAAATCAGAAAGAAAGTGAATGAAAAGTTAATTATTTGGGTTGAGATGTATCTTATTTGTCTATATATATTTTACATATACATATATTATATATATAAAAATAAAAAGATAAAATATGTATTTATATATACTAGTTGGTGAACATGTGCGTTACACGTGAATTATTTCGAGTTATTATAATTTTTATTTACTACTTTTATAATAAAATATTACTTGGTCAAATTATAGTTAAATGACCATATTGAAATTTTTAAGAATGCAATGTTGATGTGTGTTTCATATAAACTTTTTTAAGTTAGTACAATAATTTGTAGTTTTTTTAGGTATATTACAAATATTAAAACTTATATTTTATTGTAGATCTGTAAATTGATGACTAAGTTGCATAGTGGAAGTTAGACCAAATACACGCAATTAATTATTACAATACAAATTAAAACAATTCATATGTATGTCAAATAAATAATAAGGCATAGATCTAAAATTCTTCAAAATTTTGGATGGGCCAGATCAACAGTTCAACCTGAAAATTGGCTAAAGAGTGAAATCTCTTTCTTCAAATTAAAAAGCAGTACACATACGTAATTTTAAAAAAATTATTTAAGTCTTCTTCTTCAAATTATGTACCACAACCATATTGGTGAAAGTCAACCAAAACTACTTAAAATGTCCAATAAACATCACCACTAAAATGTTTAGTTGTACTTTAGAATCATGATAATTATAACATCATTTGTTTATTGTTATTACTCTAAATAAATAATTTATTAGACTTTTTAACAGTAATCAAATTTTAATTATTCTTCTGGATGTTAATACACTTGGTATGTTTGTGTTTGATTTCTCTATGAAAATTCAATTTTGTTGGTATCATAAAATCTGGGATGAATTTGTAAAAAAAAAATTATAATAGATTTCAGTGGAAGAATAATACCATAAAAAATAGAGATGTAGAGAGAATTAAATGCATAGAGTAACGTATGTTGACAACAGCAGAGAAAGATAGGGAAAAAGAGGGGAACGTCTAGGGATTCTCAAAGAGGTAAAGAAGAAAGAAAAAGAGGTTTATTTGGAGCGAGGGAAGATGAAGATGAAATGATAGAGGAGAGAGAAGATTGAGTGGCGTAAGTTTTTTTTTAGAACATGAGGATGCTTACGTTTATTTTGGCTTTAATGTTGAGGGATAAGAATGAGATAATTGTAATTTTGGAGGATAAAAGTGAAAAAAAATATTTTTCAAATATACTCACTTTTTAAAATAGTATAAATATATATATTTTTTAAAATTTTAAAAAATATTAAATTTTAAAAAATATTTTTTTTCATTTTAATTAGGGGTGAAAATTTTTGACTCAATACGATAACACGACTCGAACTCGACACGAATTTTATGACACGAACTTGATTATAACTCGACACAAATTTGAAAATGACCTGACACGCGAACAAGAAATATAAAAAACTCATATTCAGTTCAATCAGTCAAATTCAAAATTGACACCATCAACCCGTTTATTTAAAAATAAACACCTTTTTTATTTTCTTGTTTTTATGATAACACAAAACTAACATGTTTAACTAGTATTATAGATATAAAATATTAATTATTTGTAACTATTTATTATACACTAACATAATTATTATATAAAAAAGATATTTTTATTTATTATTTTTATATTTATTGAAGTTAATTTTTGGTTTAAAAAAAAATATTAACATGGATTCAATTAAGTGAAAATAGAATATTAGAGTTAATTTTTTTATTTAAAGTTTATGTGGATCAACACGAATACGAATACGACACGAAAATAAACATGTCAACTCGTAACTCGACATAACATAATTAGTTAAATGACTTGAATTAGGTGTGATTAATGTTCAATACAAACTCGTAATGACTCAACACGAAGCTGACACGACACGACTCGATTATTACCCTTAATCTTAGCCAGCACAAAAAAAAATTAGTTATTTTTATTTTTCATTCATCCAAACAAACACAAAGGAAAGAAAATGTATCCTTCATACTTTCCATATTTTCTACCAAACGGAGGATAAATGAGAGTAAATATGAGTTGATTTTTGAGTATTTTTTAAATTTTTTTAATTTCTAAGTTTTGAATGTTATGGATTAGATTATAGGCCCAAATTATTGCAATAAAAATATTGATTGAATTTAATTTTTTTTATGGGCTAGTGATGTACCTAAAATTATGGAACCTTCAAAAAATTTAGGGCCTAAAATTCATATTTTTAAGGAATTTTTGGAAGCCAGTACACCTAAATAGATTTATTTGGTAAAAAATACATATTAAAAAATATTTTAAAAAAAAGGTACACTAGTTAGATACAAAGACATAAATGCTCATTTTAGGGAAAGTGGTGCATTAAGTATATATATATGTATTTATATATACTTGTTTATATATATTTATATTTGTATATACATATATATATGTGTATATATATATATATATATTGTTTTGTGTCTTTTTTAGCAAGCAAATCTCTTAATTTTTTGATATATTTGACCTTTAAGTCCGGGTCTTCAATTTCACTAATTTGATCAATAAAAATATGTTCTTCCTCATTCTGTTTAGTTATTATCTTAACAGTTTTACAGAGGCAACTATCTTTGCATCCTAGCTTGATCCTAGGTTCACTAGGTTTGCTAGAGACTGACTGGTAATCTAAAGAATTTTCAAAACTGTTTGAGACTAAAATAGTTTCTGCCGGAGGATAGCTAGATGATTTTATAGAATTATCTAGTATTTTTCATTTATGTTTTGTTACTACTTTTACTTCTGGACGATAGGTTTCTAGATAATCAAAAAATAGAATTTTTGATTCTACTTTGTGCATTAATCCTACCCATTGTGCCATTATATTTTTATGTTGAATATGAGTGAATCTTTTGAAGTATTTCTGTCTTTTAGATCATTCCTGGTTCCTACAGTTCCATAAAGATTTCAAGAGCTAGATTCCGTCCTGGTTCGCACAGTGGTGGTTTATTCACGGCCCCATTCATGAAATCTTCCCAGCTGATCTTCAAGATCAGATTATAGCCTTCTTCTCTAGTTATCGGCTTAATAAACATGAGTCAATTTTCTATTTTACTAACATTTATTTGCAGGTACAAAGTCCCATGGATATGCAAATGAAAATGGGAAATTATTAGTTATAATGTCACCAGACAATTCTATATCAAATGGTGGCCCAGGTTCCAGTAAGGACCAAAAGTTGACCTTGTTAGACAAGAGTTCCCAGTCAAGGTTCCAACTCCTGTAGCGGTTCCAGCAATCTTAACCCCTACAACTCCTGTCAAGCAGGTTATGCTTCTCTCAGGATTTCTACTCTAGAAGAGCTCAAGAAATCCACTACAGAAGAGCTCAAGCAGAAGAAGTTCTCCTCTAAGGACTCCAGCAAGCAATCCAATAAGAAGTCTACTACCTTCATTGAGCTAGGCAAAAAGCTTCTTCAACAAGCCGCTAGTGAAAGCAGTTCCTCTGTATCATCACAGGCATCAGTCACTCCTATATTGGATCTCTTTCAAGACAGTCAGGATCCTTATACAGTATATGATGATCTGGTAGATATATCTACCCCATAATGATACTTGTCTATATGTGTGATAGCTTCAATCACTACTTTTTCATTGAACAACTTGACTTGTTGAACTATGGGTTTACCAAGAAAAACTGTCTATTACATATATCTATAAGGAATCATTTGGCACCCGGCTCTTTCTCCTAGTTAAGCAGCCATCAACCAATTGTCAAATCTGTTTTTCACCTAAAGTAGATTCCTTCAGACAAACAGCAAGACCCACCTGCCACTAACGTCAGCAATTACTTTGGAAAAAGTAATTCACCTCTACTTTCCACCTAAAGGTTAAGGTGAAAATACTTTACCCAATATAAAGCAACTATTGAAGACAAATGAGTAATCATTCTAGAGATTCCTTCAGAATTTCTTACGCTTATATAAGGATTTCAGTCTTCACTATCAAAGCAAGCGTAGCTTCACCCAAGCTTTGTAACCCAAGAGCTCTCTTAAGACTTCAACTAAACACAAAGCTTACTATCCCTATACACTATCCTTATTTTGTAAGAAGCCTTTCATAATAATGCAAATGAAGAGTCTCTCACTCCTATCCCATTACATCCACTAGCTCACTAGTGCTAGTGTTGTAAGTCTTTTA